CAAAAAAAAAAAAAACAAGCCTCCCACCCCTTGAAAAAGGGCAGTAACAGACCCTAACCCAAAATTACTATCTAAAAAAATCCTGTTTTCCTTTTTGCAACATACTTGCAAATATGCCTATAGATAATACAGACCTCAGAGCTAAAATGTGTTACTAAACTCATCCAATTCTTGATGAATGCATTAATAGCATATAAAACTTTTTCTGATACTCTTTTCAACATAATCAAATTGGTAATATTTTATCAAATACTCTGATACCTAATCAAAGTAAAAGAAACAAATCAAAATAAACCGGGCACTCTTTCTCTTAATTAATTACCCCTACACATTTCAAATTAATAGATGGCATTTTCCACCCATGGACCCAGGTCCTAAATGCTCCAGAAGTCTAATTTTTACATAATAATTGGATGCTCACTAAGTGATTTGTTAGCAACTATAAAGTTGAAAATACAAAGTATTCAAATGATAACCTACCCAATTACATAGATTCTATGAACTCTCATGTGACATTTATAAGATAAGCATAATAAGTAAACAGTGACAAATAGCAAAGACCATTGCTCTATCTTCAGAAATGCCCAGAATTCAGTCACTCCTTACCCCTACTGTCACCATCCAGTTCCACAGCACCTCGCTCTCTGCCCTGGATAACAATAGCTTTGCTTCCACTATGGTCTGCTGTCAGTCTTTACAGCAGCCCTGTTTCTTCAAAAAGGAGGACAGAACTTATCACTTCTCTGTTCAAAACTCTCCAATGGACTTGCCTATCTCATTCACACCTTAGCACCTAGTACAGCCCTCAGCACATACAAGGTGTCTGGTATTTGTGGACTGATTAAATGAACATTTGAATAGTGTAGTCCTTAATTTTGTGCAGCAGCCAAGTATTTATGAATGTCCTAAGCATAAATTTCATAAAAAAGGATACCATCAGAGGATGAAATCCAACTATTCAACCTCTAAAACAGTGTTATCCAAAGTGGCCCTGGCATAGGGCTGTGGTGGCGCGCGGGGACCCGGTGCGGTGACAGTGGTTGCTGCGGAGGTGATGAGAAACTACTAAAGTTCCTGTGGACGCAAAGCAAAATTTCGTAAGAACATAGTGGATGGAGAAGAGAAAACCTACGGTGGCTGTGAGGGCCCTGATGCCATGCATGTAAAATTGTTATCTTCGGATGGTCACGAATTTACTGTAAAAAGAGAACATGCGCTAACATCAGGAACAATAAAAGCCATGTTGAGTGGCCCAGGTCAGTTTGCTGAGAACGAAACTAATGAAGTCAATTTTAGAAAGATCCCTTCAAGTGTGCTATCAAAAGTATACATGTATTTTACCTACAAGGTTTGCTACACTAACAGCTCCATGGAGATTCCTGAATTCCAACTGCCCCTGAAATTGCACTGGAACTGCTGATGGCTGCAAACTTCCTAGATTGTTAAATAAATTATTTTTTAAAACCCCCAAAAAGTATAGTCCATATACAGGTGGTATTGTGAACTGCATTCTGGTGTGTAAATATTTATGTATATTTTTCAATTTATTTAAGGAAG